GTTCTCTAATCTAAGTATACCTCCAATAAAAATTGTAAGGGATTAGGCTATGTCTTGGTAAGGTTATGGAATTCTCTTTGAAAAATCCTTTTTTTTGCATAAAAAATAATTATTTAAATTAAATTAAATTTTGAAAAATCACATTTTCTCCTTTGATGTCTTAGTTGACCTATGAGTGAGTTGGGATAAAAATACCAAAGTCATTTGAATTAAATTTGATAAATTATGAAGTGATAGAGCCTAGGGGCAAAAATGTAATTTTGGAAATTTAACCTTAATTAAACATTTAGGCTTAATTCAAAGAGGGAAAAGGGTAACCTCTGATTTTAACTAACTTATTTGGATGATTGAAACATAAGGGAATTAATTGGTAGAAACTAATCTCACTTTTGTTAATTAAAAGATAAAATTGTAATTTTCTAAAATTGTTAAAGTTTGGATGTTCATTAAATTAAATAACCTTAAACTTAGGGGTATGACTTTGGAAGTTGATAACTCACTAATTTAATACCCGTATTTGAGGTTTAAATGATTTTCAAAAGTAATAAAAATGAATCATCATCACTTAAAATTTTAATCTTTTTCAAAAATAACTAAAACATCCACCAAAACCTTAAGGGCTTAGTAGTGACCTAGGCTAAATCAAATATGATTAATGAGGATTAGAAAAGTGAACATAATTAAAATTGAACATCTTTAAAACACTACAAGCCCAAATTAAAAAGTTGGCTAAATGTCTTTGATAGCATTAACTTGTCTCTTCAAGGGTTTTCACCCACATAATTTATAAATTAAATCACAAATGATAATTACCCTACTCTTAGGGGTAATTGAAACATCATTGTTCATTAAGCATTAAAGATTTTTATAGGGTGGATTTATTAAGCAACATAATAAGTTTAAATGAGCTCGAGACATTTTTACCAGGTAGTGAGAGGGAAGCATGAACATGCTTTTTCCTCTAGACCTGTTGGATACCTCGGAGGTCCACTAAACTTAATATGTTTTAAACTTAATATGTTTTTAATATGTTTTTCTTAATAAAAATCATCCATAATCAAATTAATAGGGACCCACCAAGATATGACCTAGGTTTAGGTAGGTCACCAAAACTTTACTGTCCTGCTTCATATAAAATGCCCTAACATGCATTTTGAGTTTCAGGTGGTGGAACGAGAAGACTCGCCAGGTATGTTTTTTATAGTTACAGTGTCGTCATTCTTGTACTTTCATACTGTACTTTTTATGCTTATAAATCTTACATGCTAAACAATGGTGTCACCCTGCATGAAAACTAAAACTGTTAAAACTGTTAGGATAGCCACCAAAACTAAAACTAAAAACAACCAAGAAAAAATTCCCCGCCACAACATTCAAAATATAAAACAACTCAAAATTTAATCACAAACATCACACAAAATCACAACAACAACTAAATTAAGACGTCTCTATCAGATGATTGGGAATCTCTCGGAGGAGGTAACCTACGGTTGCTAACAAGGCTTCCTACGGTATAAATGAAATTATGGAACTCATTAAGTTGAGTAGTAAATTCATTTCGAATAAGTGAATCCAATAGAAAATATTGGTGTTGGAACGAGGGAACCGTAGGATCCTAATCATTGTCGCTCTAATCAAGTTTAATATCCTCCATAAAATTTAAAGAACTACAACCATAGGGTCATCTGATTTGACATCATAACTTGACACCCTATAAAACTTAAACTCTTCACGGCAAGGAGCTCGGAGCTAGCATTGTGGGCAGCACGACTATCTTCAACAGCAAAACTTGTCTTCCCCATCTAAACCATTTCCTTCGTTAGAATTAAACAAGTCATAGGACTTCAAGTTGCCTATGCAACATAAATCCTCAATTCATCTTTAGGCCTCTGTACAACCATGATGTATAATATAAACCCTAACTCGTCATTGGATTCCGAGATTATCGTTCGTCACGACTTAAATCCTCACATCTTCCAGGCTATTTGTGTGAACATTCCACACAAATGTAAGCCCTAACAAATAAAATTGATAGGATGAAACACCTAAATATTTCTCCTCAAAACTAAAGCCAAACCATAGGATAGACCGGGAAGTCATCGAGGTTCTCCTTCGGATCCATGACATCCCCTAGTTCTTCCTCCTTTGGATTCCAAAAACAAAATGCTCCGAATTTGAGTGAATCTCATTTCACAACTCTCTGTCCGATCTCGTTGAACAATCCTATCCTCTTGAAATCCTTTAAGATAATATTTTCTAATTTTTATCGAAAGTTTTCTTAGGTGGCTTTGGTCATTTAAGATGTAATTAACTATGGGGGCTTGCCCTTATAAAATAATTTTCCGAACCCAGCTTAATATAAACCTTATAGAATTCCTCATATTAAATAGGGGAAATTGTCGGCAAATAAAACGGTTTCGAAGACCAAACGGACGTCATATATTTCTCAGTTTATATGATTGAACTAGTCTTGTGTTTATCCTTCGAGATAGATACATGGTTTGAGGTACAACGCTCTTTCATTTAAACTATGAAAAATATGGGGTCAGTTTGATTTCAAATTTTTCTAAACATTAAAATGTCCTTCCGAAGCGGGCGACGAGATTTCAATTCCGGTGACCGACAGCTTCTTAAAGGCAACTCCCCCAAACCAAAAATAGTGCCGACAGTCCTATATTACTTGAAACAATACCTATACTTGTGTAGTATTCCTAGTGTGAAGGCTTATTATTTCTTTTCTAACTCATTTTATTTATTCAAACTAGCCGCTAAATACAATTTGGGCCAATTTTTTAACAATCAATCTTTTGAACAATATATATCTGCATAATTGCGGGTCAGGTTATGATCCAATCTTTTTTCTTTACTTCTTTATAGTTTTACCTCTGACTAGTACGTAATTTAAGATTAATTCCTCTATGAGTATCATTCCTTAGTTTAGTAACTTAGGATCTAGTATATCAATTATATGCATCCATCAATCCAACTCAGGTCTGTTGATTTTACTATCTACAGTTGACTTAGTAGAACAACATCTGGACTTGTAAAAGTCTAATGGCTTCATCACAAGTTTAGTCATTGAAGACACTAATAAAAGTCTAATGATCCAATCTATCCTAATATATGCGCCCACAATCTACTTCGTGTTTGTTGATTGTAATATGTGATAGGTGATTCAATAAATTATCCCCTTAACTAGTAAATTTATGTTTGGATCAAGACTTAGTGATCTTGTCCCTTATTTAGTCATTGAAAATCTAAAAATAAATATTTATGTATATTCTATCTCACTATAGGCATCGATGGATCTGCTCCAAGACCGTTGATCGTCTTATGCCATAAATTAATCAATGGATAACTACCTTGTTTTGTAAGTCCAAGTTTGGATCACTAATGCCCCAACATTAGCAATCATTAAAATCACAAATTGAAATTTTACTATCCAGTACACAGTTCGATGCTATGTTTAATGATTCTACCGTGACATATTATATATAAAAATTAAATATTTATTCAAAATTTTAATTTGTTTACTATCTTTTTAAGAAACATCAGGTATAAAAAAAAATTAAATCTATATTAAAAACTAGGTACACATACAATTCGCTACCTACTTCAACTAGTATAAACTAACCAAATATAAATTATGTACAATCATTAAAAAAATTATGAAAGTTATGTATGAACTTATATGAAAGCTCTCCTCAAACTCAAACCCAATACGAAGAACTTATGGTTAAACAAAGCCAAATTCATTCTATGATACTCAAACTCAGCTCCGCTAGATTAGAACCAAATTCATGGACAAAATTACATTCAATATATTTTTGTAAGAACAAGAATTAAATGTTAAACATTAAAAGATAAATAAATAAAATAGAATGCATTTAAACATCAATAGAAATATATGAATAAAGACAAGTACTGTTTTTTATGCTTAACTATTTTCTATCTTCGAAAAATTTATAACATGCTGTTCACAGCACATACTGAGGACGATCCGAATACGAAGATGAAGATCAAATCATAACTATCCCGACGGTCGTCCAACGTACGATTACCGCACTTAGTAATTTCGCATATACTTAGCATATTTTTTAAACTATATTATCACAGCCGATCCCTTTTTTTATTGTTTTTTTTTTCCATACTTGCACACAGCTTAAGATTCACCGCTACTGAGAAAATCAAAAGACAACCACCAATTGTCTGCTATCACATGCCTCTCATCTTGGAAGCCTTCTCGACTCTGACGGTAGCCTTTACTGTAGCTGATTTCCTCGCATTCAACATCCTCTCCACCATTGAACTCCCAATCACCACACCACTGTGGTTGCCTCCCCTCTTCTCGTTTCCGTTCTCTTCCAACTCCCGTTGTCTAGTCTTCGTAACACTCGGCGATCGTCTTTGCTCCGCCGAACCCATGGCTGTAACCTTTGGCCTCGATCTTGTTGCTGACGTTGTTCGTCCAGGCACCGCAGAGGTGATCAAGTTTGGTGGCGCCTCAGCAGGGAAATCCGACAGGTTTGCTGGGAAACGAGATCGAACCAGAGGGGAAACGGTTCTGCTGTTTGGTTTGGATTCCAGATTCTGCTTTGCAGGAGCTTCTTTAGTGGTTTTCCTTGTAGGTTTTTCCATTAGCTTTGGAACACCTTTGCTTTTCATGAGTTTTGAATCCGGACTTGCGGGTCGAGAAGCGGCCGTAGTTACCGATGCGGAGCTTGGAGATGTCGATCTAGGTTTGTTTACAACTGATTTGACCTGCAATATTTCATGATAATGGGTCGCTGGATATATTTAGACAGAATGAAGATAATATATCAAGGAAATGCTTCTTAAGGAGTACTGCATTTATACATGTCGAGTTGGGGGTTTGGGATCCGGCTTCTTATTAGTGGACCCTTCTTTGCCGAATCTGTTGATGGATCTTTCAACTCGTTTGGGATCTTCCTTCTCACGAACTATGGTGGCTGCTTTGCGGATTGAAGGCAGTCTCGGAGTCAAATCCGGAGTTTCTGGCCGCGAGGAAGCGGCCGTAGAGGTGGCCGCGAGGAGGCGGCCGTAGAGGCTACAGACAGTGAGCCGGGGGATTTTGGTCTTAGTTTTGGCTCTTCTTTTCTTCTCAAGAACTACAATTATTAGATTAATTTAGAAACCAAGAACAGTTTTGGTTAAAAAATGTAATTCGATCTCGTTAAATTAGTTGGCTTGGCAATTATTAGATCCGTTTGGGGGAGCTTATATCGTTTGGTTCGCACGTTTTACCAGTTTATTCGAAACTACATTTAGGTTTTTACACTAAATGTGGACCGCGGGTCGACCTCTGCGACCGGCGGCCGCCTCGCGAGCCGCGTTTCAGGATAAACAGCTTATCCTGAAACGCACAAGCTGCCCCAAACAGACCCTTAATAAAACTAAAAAAAACAAAAAAATTAAAATTCAAACTTAAGTAAATAAAGTAGAACATGTACTCTTCCAGGTTGAAGTGGCTTGGCGGATGGCCCCTTGTCTGATTCCTTGGCGAATCTTTGAGATGCAAATCTAGGTGTCGCAATTGGTGTTGTAATTGACCTAGGAGGTGATAAGGGATATCGATCCGTATCAGGACTCTCGGGTCGGGAAGATGATGCTGATCCAAAGGACGACACGGAAGTTGCAATTGGTGGTTTTGATCTTGTTTTTGACTCCATTATTTCTAAAAACTGACAAGTTTGTTTGAGTAATTTTATATTAGTTCGAGTAAGTGGATTGGCAAGGCATGCATGCAGATGGGGGTGTAAATGACTCGAACACGAGCTAGCCCAGGATTAGCTCGTGTTCGGCTCGTTTATATAAGTCTGTTTGTTTTCAGCTCGTTTGCTTAGCGAGCCCTTAGCTAGCCGTTCACGAACAAAAAATCGTTTTGGCAGGTAAAATTTAAAAATTATTATTTATATTAAAACAACATTTGAATTTAATTTAATAATTTTTATTTTATTTTCTTTATTAATATTTATAATTAATTATAAATCTTTGTAGTTTTGTAGTCAATTAATTTTTTTTAAAAATAATACTCATCAATATATATATATATATTGATCAGTAGTATTTCAAGCCAAAATGAGCCGTACACGAACGAACAAATTTTTGTTTGTGTTTGGCTTGTTAACTTAGCGAACGAACTGAACACGAGCTTCTTATCGAATCGGTTTGGCTTGTTAACTTAGCGAACGAACTGAACACGTGCTTCTTATCGAATCGAATAGGAGCTGTTTGCGAGCAACGAGCCGTTTTGACAGCCCTACTGTCCTACATGCAGATTTGTATTATTTACGTGAATTTCAAAATTATTCTCAACTTAAATTTCCTCAATTGCTAAAATAAGTGCTAATTAAGAAAAGCAAACGCCCACCCTTGATGGTTTAAGCGGTGGGATGATGGGAAGTTCCTTGTGGATTATCATGTGAGGACTATTGCTTTGGCCAACATCCATCTCAAGCGATTGGAATAAAGGCGTTGCAGGTGGAGTTTTGAGCCTGCCGCCAAAACAACAAAAAAAAGGTTTAGTAGTTATGACGGAAAAAATTTTCGGTCGCTGATAATTAAAAAAAATTTAAAAGAAAAACTCTTATTATTCATCCGAACATTTAAAATCTAATGTTTAAAAATTTTGTGAATATTCTAACCTACTTTTTAGCCTTTATTAAATTGCTAGGACTTTGATAAGGCTGCGAAAATGGCACCAAAAAACTTTCTGGAGCTCATCCGCACCAGTTCTTTAGGCATTAATATCAGCGCTAGTTCATTTTTAAAGTTTTGTAAAATTTTTTATCTAAATTGAAGAAACTTTCCTAATATTATAGAGAGATTAATATTGATAAAAAGGATTATCTCACCAATCATAATCATTCTTTTCGTTTTCGTTTACATTAGCATCACCCTTTTTCGCAGCAGAAATTTTGAAGACGACCGAATTTCCTGCATTCATAAATTTCATAAGTTTTTATATAAGCGAGACAATTAATGTTTGACTGAAACAAATGTCGAACAATTTAGTGGAGAAATTTTGCAGATTTTCTTTTGGGTATAACTTTTAATTCTATTATAAAGGAGAAATGGTCAATCTTTTGTACACTAGACAAGAAACAGTGCCGCAGTTGATAGTAGATTAACTGGAGAAGCTACAGCATAATTCTTTTTGCGGAAAACTCGAGCAACGAAAGCTCTACCTCTAATCACGATAAATTTCCACTTTCCTTGCTTGCCTTCACAGCTGATTATATGAACAATTTTTAGCCTATCCAAATTACCTTTCCATCTGTTATTAGGCCAAAATAAAGTGCAATTGATGGACTACTGCCAATATTATAAAAGTGTTCGCTCAACTTACGATGACCTTAGCAAGCACCCATAAATAAGGTTCACAAGTTAAACACATTTTTTTTTAATTATATACAATTGACAAAGAATTCACTCCTCTAAACATGCCCAAATAATGATAATTGAAAATCTTCACAAAAGGAACCAACTAGCTCATAAGACAAAGGGCATATCGAAGTAACATAATATTTGGAGAGGGAGGATAAATTGGAGGGTAACTTCTTTCATGTTCACTATCAACTTTGAATTGAATTATTATTCAAGTCACATTGGCCTAGTAGTTGAAAGCTCTGTTTTTCAACCAACAGGTATTGGGTTCAAGGTCTTGCATAAGCAATGCACATGTATTCTATATGTGCAACATCACCCATAGCTCTAGTAGCAAAATCATCCACTTGGTTTTTTATGAGCTTTGTTTTTAATCTTCACCATCTACTTTGAGGATTGTCATCCATAAAGGTTGAATATTGTGCATTAGCCACTAAAGCAATGAACATTTTTTGGTTGAGGAGATTATTACCAGAATTTAAAAATCCCATACCTCAACCAACTAACCTTTATTACAACATCATCTACATAATATCCTTGCAAATAATCTAATGTTTCAAGGATTACAAACTCCATATGAAAATTTCTACAAGTCAAAGCGAAGTTATCCGTCAAGCCTTGGACATTTAAATGGAGTGGTGCTAATAATGATTATTGTCAATGTTCACATAAACACTCAAACAGCTCACAGGACAAAGGACATATAACAAAAGTATCCAGCCATGAATACATTATATGGAAAATCATGAATCCTGACCCTCTAAATGTGACCGCTTCTTTAATTCTCACCATCAACTCCAAATTGAATTATTCTCTAGTGTTCTGCGAGTTCAATAAACACATTATATCCCCTGTATTAGATAGATCAAGTAGAAATTCTCTTGTACACCTTATCCTTGCTCATCTATTTTTCTTCTACTTTTACACTTCATATGATTTACATTCCGAACTTTTCTTCCCTCAAAATTAATTATAACCTTCATGGAACACTCTTTTCACACGAAGGGATCAACCAAGTATCCTACAAACCTAATTCACTAAACCAAAACTTTTAAACAAAATCTTCTGTAACGATTTCAAATCCTATTTACAGGTAATGTTTCTACGTGTTCCACAAATAGCATCAGATTCAACACAAATAGCATCAGATTCAACATCCCAATAAGTGTGATCAGAATTGATGTACTAAATCTAAGAACGGCGTCATAAAGCAACCCAGAATAGAGAATGATCGTTGCAAACATATGAATCTATGGTTTCACATATGATCAGCTCACCACAACAATGATCATTCAGAATGATCTAAAGAAACTTCCAATGTATTCTGCTAGCATACCTCACAATCTCCTCAGCAGAGCAGAGCAGTCACCTCTCCTGTACATCTCGGACATCTCATCCCGAGAACAGTTGCATGTTTCTTCAAATATCCAAAGAATTATTTGTTCTGTCCTAATTTATTATACATGTTTTCAATCAGTCTGCAGACTAAAAGGATTTGATTTTCAACTAATATAGTATTCAATCTTCTTCCTCTATTTCAAAATTCTAATACAATAATCTATTGCCTCAAAAGAAAAAAATTTATAAAAGAGTAATCAGAAACAGAACTGCACTTCTAATTCATGAATAATCTGCGAATCAGAAATTAGAAAGTTCGAAAGCATTTCAAATACTACTATTTTAACATAAGTTGAATATTCACAGCAGGCTACGGTTCCATAATCAGATCATCTCTTAATTTCTTCAGATCAAAGAGACATAGATCGCCTTACAAAACATGATTATTTCCTATGAGTCTCATGAAATAATCGTAACTAGGCAAATACAAACATACGTAGAGCAAACTCAAATTAAAATTAAAACAGAAAATTCATCATATTGTTTGGCGATCATTTACCATCAACTGGCACGAGCTCTGTGGATACCGATTCGAGGAGATTCATGTTCTTCTCTCTCTCTCGCTTAAAGAGCTCCCGGAAAAGTGAGAGCTCCTCATCGCGCTCCTTCTTTGCGCTCGTCGGCGGAAAGAACCTCAGGCGACCGGCGCTCATTGACACCAAAACGAGCAGAAATGAACTGCCTATGGAGAAGGCAGGTTGGAATGGAAGAAAGAGGAGAAAGAAATAGACATGAGAAGGAATGGGCAGAAGAAGATATCAATGTGGCGGAAGCAGTTCAACATGGCCGGCAAAATACTCGGTGACAAAACTGGGATTGGCATGATTTTGGACTGGGTAGCAAATCATTCTCATGCGAGCATTTGGAGGATTTCAGGGAACCATGAATGAATGCCGGCCGGACCGGGACTCAGCTGCTTGACACCTGTATAAACGATTTTTCTCCAAGCTAAACTTTAACAGAGGATCATATCTTATTAAAATTTAAACAAATTAATATGATTACATATATTAAAAAAAATAGCAGTAGTAATGTTAAGTTTGTTTTTTTTCTTCCCTCGAAAATCTTTGGTGTAAATATGAGTTACGTTTTTTTTTTTTAAATTAACAAAAAAGTAATACATTACCCTTTCCCCGAAAGCGTAGCTTAACATTTGCTTATGTTAAACAATAAAGGTTAACCCATAAGTAGGATTTTAACTTCAACGATTCTGCGACGAGGCACAAAATAAATATTTCTTGAATAGTATTTTATTAAACATTATTCATAATACACAGGTTTGACATGATCAAACACAGACATCTACGAAAATTTTATTAAAAATAAAATAAAATAAGATTTTTTAAAAACTTTTTGGAAGCCTTCTGGATTTTAGCTGTAAATAATTTTTAATGAGGATAATGAATTTCAATGAGATGAAAGAAATGTTAGCTGTACACTATGACAATAACATTCACATGTGATTGAATTTGCAACCAGGGATTAGTGCTAGTTTCTAACAATAACATCTTGCAAGGTGCTTGCGACGACCAGGTTTGCCTGATATTTAAGTGATTTTTAACAGCGCTTTGTGAGCAATTGTGACTCGTAATAAAAACCTAAATTAAATCCAAAACTCTATGTTGATTCACAGGAGCGCAAAAGTGGTGAATTGTTCTTTTTTAATTTTTTCATAACACAAACATTCTCTTCACATGCAACAAATAATGGACAGAAATTATTTTACATCCATCTCATAATTGTAATAGGAACAAAAAAAAAAAAAATAAATATAAAAATGTTAGATTAAAATAATGTCATTAGTTAATGTCATTTTATCTTTGTTTGAATTAAAACGTCAAAAGAAAATATTTTTAGATCCGTATTTATTTTAATTTAATTTTTTTACTAATTAATATTTTTTTTGTAATTACAACTTGCCATAAGAGAGCTACTCATTCAAACTACTAATACCCTAAAACACTCAAAACAATGTCAAGATTAAAACGGCGAAAAGAGAAATTCAACGTATGGGCCTGAAGTGAACCCCATAACAAGTCAACCAGACTGGACGAGCCTATTGAATATACCACCCCACCAACTTTGATTGAGTCAAATGAGTGGATTCAACATGCCTCTATAGTAGAAGAAGCCAATCACTGAACTAGGCAAACTCAGTCTTCAATCCACCTAAAGCCTTTTCAACTCCACCAATTATGTTTGAGTTTAGCTGATTTAGTATAAATAGAAGCATAGGGAACCCTTATCTCTAGAAGACCCTCTAAATGTTGTGAAGGCATACATTGTGACAACAAAAAAAATGATCACATTACTGTGCAAGGAGATTACAAGGAGTTTCTTCTATAAAAAAATGTGATGAACATCAATTTAACTCTCGTTAAAGAGCGAAAACAAGTGATAGTACACATTTGTCTGATGAACTCTCATTAGCAGTATTGGGCACGTAATCCTCCATAGTTATTGGAAAATTCATAAATGGACTTCTATGGTTAACTTCTACCGCAAGAAACTATTTTTCTCCGTAAAAGTTTAAGAGGCACATTCAGATTTAATTTGCCATAGATTTCTTTACAAGGAGGATGCTTCTCTCTTTCAGGGACTACCCATACATTTTCATGTATAAAATCAACTTCAAAAAAGCTAGAGTTGATGATAAAAAAAAATGTTTTTTTCAGATTTTACATTGTATTAAAAAATAAATTTAATGTCATTTGATCCATACATCTATCGTAGCTATGTAATCGTCAACAAATAGCTCAAGCAACATTGGTCTACACTAGTAAGGGCATCAACAACTTTACCACAGGGCACTAATCATCTACAATCGAGCCCATAAATTGGGCTTACCATAAGGTATCCACACAGATAGATGGAAAAAAAAAATTAACCAATTCACATGTTGGAGTTGAGTTCTCTTTTGATGGTTTCATCACTTTCTTATTCCATTTTTACTCACCTTCTCACTTGCACTCACCATAGAAGTATTTTTGTTATTTCACGATAAAAAATGTTAATATGCTCGTTTGGAATATTCACCACCTGTATATATTGAGGGAACAAAAAGAAAAAGAAGAGATTGATAATAACTGATGTGGTGGATGAAAGTAAATAAATTGACATTCTATCACACTATGTATAGGGGATAAAAAACATCATTGGAGTTATTCAAACATAAAATTTGTAAATATAATACATTTTAATGTGTTATAAACCAATTGTTGAATTTTTATGATTTTATTCAATTCTTCATTTACAACTTCACTTTCAAATAGATTAGATAATTATAATACCTAAATTGTATAACTGAAATATGGCTGTATCAAATTTAGATCATGATTAAAATGATGATAAGGACGACTTGCATGATTTTGATCATGGCTTTCCATGCTAGGATTGATGATTTGCCTACTAAGAGTTGTAGGTGCAAGTTACATAATTTACATCATCAACTCTTCCATTGAGCTGATGTTGCTAAACTAATGAGGTGACTAGAACAATTTTGTGATCTTTGGACCAACTTAATAATAGAGGGTCAAATTAACATCAAGGCCAAATTTGCATAAGTGATGAGTTATTACTAGTAGTTGAGTAGATTGGTGAGGATGTGGTCAAACAAATACACATACGAAGGAATATAGAGTTGTCAAATAATAGTGAATAAAAGATAATATTAATTATATCTTAATCTTAGAAGGAGGAAAAATGGATAAATTAGAGGTCCCTAAGGATATATATTAAAGCTCTTTAATAAATTAAAGAAAATCTATAAAACAAGGGATAGATATATAATTATTAAATGTTGTGTCTTTGTCTTTTTCAACTAACAAATAAATCCCATCTTTTTTTTTCCATCCTTTCCCTTCTTGTAAATAATTTACTTGAGATGTGAGTTCACAAATAGATCAAGAGTCAACGGTATTAAAGAGACAAGATTCCATAAATAAAAAATAAAAAATGATCATCTGTAATATTTAAGTGTTGGCTATTCAAATTTTATAATAATTCTAAACAAGAAAGCTCATTTCTCTCCTATGAAACATATAATTCAATCCATGAGAGCATATGATAGCTATCATGCTATGGAGTGGCAGGCCATAAAAAGAACAAGTGGATTATGAGAATCTAATAAAATATGAGAAAAAAATCTTAATGGAATTAAATTATAATACTTTATATCTCTTGATGTGTTTCAGAAGCTAAATATTAATATTCCATTTTGCTTAGAACTTAGGGAAGATGCTTTATTTAAAGAAAATCCATACATTTTTTTTTAAAAAAAATCCTTTTGGAATAGAAGATTTTGGTACTTATTATGATATGCAGTGCTCTACTCCAAAAGGCATTACTAGGTGGTTTACAGATCTAAAAAGCTTCACTATTCCTAACCTTATTAAAAAGGTATTGTTCAATAAACCTATATGGACTTTAAGACAATCCATTAATTTGAAATTATTTTAAATTAATGAAAAGTTGAGAGTTAATAAAAATAAGCTAGCCACTATCTCACAATAACTTAATGAAGGTTTAATCAAACAATTCAAGGTCAGGATCATTAAAAGAAATTCTTGGGAAGGATCATAAAGTTGTCGTTAAGTAAACTATATAGTTTAGGAAAGTAAGGATGAACTATAAAAGATCTTTATAAATCTAGGTCATCACCTTTTGTTCTATAATGAGGTCCTTAATTAATATATTTTAGTGGTTGATGGGGGTTCATTTTGTTAAATAATAAAATGTGCAGATCAAACAAAGTGTTTTGAAATATATAACATGTGGTTGTATAAGAGATTTAAAATAATATATCATCTAAAAATAAAAAGATTCTACATTTTAGGAGATATAATCATAAAATGATAGTTTCACTACTATGGGTGTCTATTTTAAAAAAATCTTTTTCCCTGCCATAATTAGATTGGACTAAGTTTAAAATATCTAGGATTGGGTTTCTTTAAAGGAACAAGCACATAAAATTAATTACATCCTTAGAGGGGATATCTTTTAGGATAACTTTCAACTGAAATAGTGGTTGACTTCTCATGGTTTCCTTTTATTCAAGTAATTGAATTTAAAATTTCAAAAAGGGTTTGGCTCAAAATCCAACAAAATTTTCTTTGATTTAGAAGGTTAGGATATATATTCTGTAAAATGGGTCGAGAAGAAGCCTAGGAGAGGGTTGTCCTTGTGGCAAAAGCCAACATGATAACATCAAACCCTAAGTTAAGGTTGGCCATAATGACATGTATCAGTTGCTTGAACCTTGTTCTAAAGATAGAAAGTAGGACTTACGAACTTTATTCCCATCGAGGAGTGTAATATGGCTTGATTCCTCCAGATTTATATGTTTTCCAAGTATGGGACTATAAGTTAACAACACTTATGCCAAATAAATATGATGCAAAGTTAAATGCACATTAGGAGTTGTAAAATATTATAATTTTGAAAAAGTGTACAAACTTACAACTGAATATTAAAAATCGTGTGGTCTGATTACATTTGCTCATAGATAATATGTTCTAAATTTTAATTATTTTTTTTCTGATTTACATTTAGACTTATAGAATTGAAGGATGTGATGTGTATGCAAACTAAGTATGTATGCAAGCATGGAAAATTAATTCTTGGTTAATCATGTGCATAAAATAATCATTCCTATCAAGTTTGGTGATTCTCATTTGTCTGATCCCTCCTTTTCATGTATAGGTGAAGCGCTTGAAAGTTAGGAGTGAACATAATATGATCGCACAAGGTTCAATTACTCATATTAGTTTTTATTTAATTTTAATTAACAATAAATACAATAAGCTGTGAATAGTTTTTTTTGAAACTTGTTTTGTATTTTTAAAAATTAATTTATGTTGTTAGGTTGGGTAGAATTGTAAGTTTTACAAGAAGAGCTTAATGATTAAAACAAATCTAAGCTTT